ATATATATGAATATATGACAAATATATAAAAAATGCATGTGGGTACTCAAATAAAAGGTCTCGATAAGTGTAACATCGAAATGAGTTTATATCTTGAATAATGTCAATAATTAAGAAATTACCTTGTATCTTGTGAACTATTGACATTTTTAAAGATATAAGCTCATCCCGATGTTACACTTATTGAGACCTTTCATTTGAGTACCCACATCAATTTTTCATATATTTTATATATTATATATATGTATATATGAAAAATATATCAAAAATGCATGTGGGTACTCAAATGAAAGCTCTTGATGAGTGTAACTTCTGGATGAGCTTATGTCTTTAAAATATACATTATATATATATATATATATATATATATATGTATATATGAAAAATATATCAAAAATGCATGTGGGTACTCAAATGAAAGCTTTTGACGAGTGTAACATCGGGATGAGCTTATATCTTCAAAAACGTCAATATTTAAGAAATTACAGTGCAATTTAACAAAAAATTCGCTAATTAATAAAGCAAAGTTTTATTTATTTATAGTTTGCACACTGTTATGATAAAAAATTGAATGTTTCAAATATAACAATCTAATTTACAAATTTACAAACAAGAAATTAAAATTTAAACGGCATGTAACGCTGTATAAATATTGCTCCCGCGGGAAGTTGAATGTAAGTGGAACTGAAACAAGAGGAGTAAATTCAGTGAATGACTTGAGAGAGAAGTTAATTGTAAGTTCAGGTTTCGCGAGCAGTTCGAGCGTAACCGTTTAATGGAATACAATGCGGCTAGCTTGAATTAAGCAAATAATAATCGGGTGGAACACATTTCCAGGCGTATATACACACAACCAGCTACCGGTAGGTACAAAGTTAAACCATTAGAGTTTACGGGCAATATGCTCGGACGTATCTCCAGAGGTTTTGCTATTTTGGTTAAGAGTTAAGTACAGTGGTGAGCGAAACTAGATTGCAGAGCAGTAATGTTACCCCATTTTTGGTTTAATAGCTTGCGGTTGCTAATTGTATTTACGTGTTTTATTGTTACGAATCGCCGGAGATTCTCTGTTGACCGCTGCACCCAAATTTGTAGGGAAAAATTTTTTTAATCAAGAAAATTTTAAAGATTTAAAATATTTTTCAAGCTTTTTATTTTTTATTTTAAGTTTAAAATTCTGGGTTAAATTTTAAAAAATAAAACTTACCTGTAGTTTTTAAAAGTTTAAATTGCCCTATCTCTCATTTTTTTCCACAATTTAAATTTTTAATTCAAAAATGAAGTTTGAGGACTTGTCCGTAATTTTTGAAAGTTTAAATTGCGATTTTTGGCTAAAATATTGAAAATACAAAAAAAATTATAAGAAACCTTTTTTATAGAAAATTAAATTTCCTACAAACAAGGTTTCATTAATTTTTCCCTATCTCTAATATTTAAGCCACAATTTAAAAATTCCCGATTTTGAAGCAACTAGTTACTTTTAAAGTGTATGCAAAGAAATTACCACAGAAATAAATTTTCCTTTTTAAAGTAAAAACAAAATTACAATTTATAATGTACCTACGAATTTAAATGGATATTTATCCTGTCTGGTAAATCCTGATTGACGAGCAGCCTTATTGGAAACTAATTCAACTAGACAGAGCCCATTTATTCGCAACTAATAAAATTCCAGCGTTTTTTAAATTCAAATAAATTTCCGTCTAAAAAAAAAAGTTAAAGAAAAAAAAAATCTACTCAGCAGAATTTTAATTGATACTTCTATCTTCTCTTTTAATTAAACTCTCGATCTTTCACTCATTACTCTTGACTTCAATATTGAAATTTTAATTAAAGGTTCCATTGAAGTTGAAGCAAATGATATATACAATTTAATTTTTTCACTTTATTTATTTTTATCTTATCAACTTAGTCTCTAACTATATTTATGATTACATAAGTAATTATAGTATAAGTACATAATAATAATAACAATTATTATTATTATTTTAATTAGTAGTTTGTTCAATTAATTAAGTAGTTTATGTAAAAAGTGCCAACAGATTTACCAAATATTTTTTTTATGGTCCAATAAATAATTATTCTCTGTGCTTCGGCTCCAAAATTAGTTTTTAAATCACATTTTTTTTTTTTTATTAATTTTGAGAATATTTTAGTTCAGAAAATTTTTTATCGCAACTTATATTACCAAATTCTAGGTTAAATATTGAAAATATCTAAAAAAAAAACATTATTATTTTCTCAAAAATCCAATTTTAAATCAAACTATACCAAAATTTGATTAGATTACGCATTAAGGTAGTTTGGGCTCCAAATGACTTCAACTTGACCCCATATTTTTTTTATATTCACTAGAATTTGAATTTACGCGCGCAAGCGCGCACCTTGACTATAGAGTTTGCATATATTTTCATGCTTATGATATATTCGACCAATCACGTTACGAATAGTTTGATGCCACATACATTTCATCTTAATTTTATATTAGGATTCGAAAGATTATGATTTAATACATCTATAGAAAAAAAATCAGATTTTTTTATCACACCGTTTAAGAGATATAATTAATTAAAGTTTTGAAAAAATACACGGTCTCTTATGAGTGTCCTTGTTCAATAACTCCGGAATTGGAGGATTTATAAAAAATCGGCCAACTTGATCCAATAAAAAAAACTTTCCAATAGATAGAACAATGCTTCATACATATTCTATCAAAATTTGATAACGATTTACCACATAGTTTTAATTTAATTAATTTTTTAATATCAAAAATTGGTTTCTATCTTTGTTCTTTGTCGGAGACATTACTCCCCCATCTTTATTAGGGGAAAAATGGCGACTTCTCGGTGCGCGGCAAATTTGAAATTGAAATATAATCATAAAGTTTTTTTGCATTAAAATAAATTGTTATTAAACATACATTAAAAGTTCACGTAAATTATAGCAGATTTAATATATTGAAGTGATATTTGCAAATTTAAACAATAAATAAACACCGTGAGCAACTGTTTTAAGTACCGACCTCACATAACCTATAACAGTTGTTATTGTTTTGTGACATCCCAGTACTTGTCGCGGGAAATTTAAAAATAAATTGTAGGATATTTATTTTAAGACCGAGAATTTGGTAAAGTTGCGTAAAATTATTCTTTATTCTCCTCCGAGATCTCAAGGACGGCAATACTAATTAATAATTATAATTAATGATTAAAAATTGTCTATTTTATAAAAAATCAAAGATAGAAAGAGAGGAGAAACAACTACTACTTATTTTGAGATAAATAGTCCTATCACAGTGGGTGATGAGACTCGATGATCTAGAATCGAGATCAGTTTAGCTCACAGGCTTTTCTCCATATTTTTTTTTAAATATTCTACTAATTACTTCAAACCTGTACATTAGACTTAGTTTAAAAATAAATTTCTAATATAAAATTGTCAATTTTATTTTGAACTTGCCAAGTTTAAATTGACAAAATTCAAAAATAGTTTTATTAATAAAAAAATTATTTTTTTCTTCTACTTACATTTTTATTAAATTCTACGGGGTTACATATGAGTAATCACATTATAAGCGTAGCTCAAAATAGATTCATTATTATTATTAATATTATTATTATTAATAATATATATATATTTTTACAAAAAATTTCTAGACTAATAGAATAAATGTTCGAGCTTTTGAAAACAGAGCCGAAGCACAGAGAATAATAATAATTAAATTAAATAAATAAATAGTTTAAAAAAATGAATAAATTAATTTTATCGTACCTTATTATTTATTTATTAATGTTACTTAATAAGTAGTTTTTTTTTTAAAGTGCACATTATTTGATATAATTATTGTAATAATAATAGAAATGATTATTTTAATTTACGATACAATTGTCAATGTATAATATATACAGAAAAGTTCTATATTTATAGTTTTGTTTTTATCATGCATAATTATTATTATTTACATACATCCTATGATTAATAGGCAATATTTTTATCAAATAATTTTAGTTGTTAATAATAATGATAGTAATAATAGTAATAATCAATAAAAATTAGCTTTGACAAGTATTATAATTTTAAACGCAAAGACTCGGGTTCGATTCTCGACGATGTTAAATCAATTAAAAAAAAAAAAAAAAAAAAAAAAAAAAAAATTAATTATTAAATCAAAAACTGGGCTTAGAATCATAATTTATTAAAAATTTTGAATAATATATGATTATTTATATCATATATGAATCATATCTGATCACATATGTCATATATGACCACATACTTCATATATGTGATCATATATGATAACATACTTCACATATGTGTCATATATGATAA